GATTTAAGTACTTAAAATTTGGGTTCTAGATTTTCCCTATCTGAACACTGATATTTTTAAAATAATGAATTTTAAGCTCTATGATAAGACTGTTCTTAACACATCTATTGAAATGAAAATACACCGTGGGGGTGAGAGGGAAGGCAAAATAACCAACAATGCCTGGGTCACAGCACTAGCCGAGCTTGGAAAGCTGAAGGGGTTAGCATGGCCTGGACTCTCCAGACACCAGCTGCATCTTCAGAGTCAGCACAATGACAGCCCACACACAGGACTGTTGACATGAAAGGAAGCAGGCATGCAGCGCTTGGTAGAGAGAGCTTCAGTGATCCATAGTCTCAGTTGCCTTCTGTGTCCCACCACACCATGATTCCCTGACAACAGAATCTGTGTCTTAACTAGTTAGACTGAATGTCTGAAAGAGCCAGTGCAGAAATCACAGATGCAGAGAACAGGGTCCTTTTGTCTAGGGACTAATCCGCACTAACACTATCCACCTGCAGCGGAGAACACAGGAAGCAATACATTTGTAGTCCCCATTGTTGACATGGTTGATGTTCTGTAAGGCTTTAGTGGAAAGTCAGAGCAGTAACCGGCAGTTTTTAAAGTGAGGCAGGCTGCATCTTCTAACCCTAGGATTGTTGAGTGTCCACTACACACCAGATTCTGTGTTATGAACTAATTCAGTGATGGATAGAGCAAAGAATTATTTACCCCCAGAGCAAAAAGAAGGAGGTCGATGGGCACTTCTGCAAAACGGAACAGAAATTCACCTTCCAACCACCAGCAGAAGCAATGCTCTGACCTAATCATGTGCTGGCTGATTGGAGAGCCTTCCTCAGCAGGGCTGAAGGAACTTTGTCTAGTACCTTCCAACACCCCCCAAGTTGCATGGGAGAGAAGGGAAACAAATGTTGATACTGATATGCTTTGCCACAAGTTTCTCCTTGCTCAGAAGTTTCCACAGTAATATGAAAGATTCCAATTCCCTGCTTGTCCCTAAGGCTGAATATTGTAAATAAATTCTGAAAAACACATCTATTTAAATTTCAGATCCTGGGGGAGATTTTACACCTCTCTTCTCCTAGCCCATGTGCTTCTGTTTCAGGCTTTAAATCCCTACCAAGCAGCAGGATATTAGAGCAGCCCATTCTGAAAATATGTATTTTTTCATACCGAGGGAAGAACCAAAATGTTATAGTCTTGATAATGATCTTGACACCTCCTGTCTTCCTCCTTAGCTCCCAGCCCAACAGTGTCTGTCTGTCTGTCCCAGAAGGCAGTGCCACCATGCAGGGGACTGTGAAGGATGTGAAGGAGGAGCAGTCGTTCTGAAGCAACAGTTAGACTCCTCTCGAATGTTATGAAGATTAATTGCATTTCTTCTGAAGTCACTGAGATAATCAATCTTAGGTCCAGTTGTTTAGAGGAATATAAGAACAGCTAGGTAACAGCGTGTTAAGTGCCTTGCAAGCACAGAGAAAATGTCAACTTTTCTCTCTAATAGCATGGAAAACAAGTATGTCTGCAAGTTAGCATGAACTAGTGAGCTGTGACATTAATCTGACTGGTTAACTCTGAGCAATGATAAAGTCCATTGGAAGACCCAAAAACCAAGTCGTCAGACTCAGCCAACTAAAGGACTTAGCCAATTTAACCAAGAAGACTTGACCACTTTGGGTCTACTATGATTAAAGGCTTGCTGCAATTGGATAGTTAAACTACTTTAAAGTATATGTATATAATCACCAATCTTCGGAAACACACACAAATTCAGTCTCATTTCTTTTGGTTTAGAAGTGTTAGGATCTAAAGCACTTAGGTTGTGAAGCACTTATAAGCTATGCCTTAGCCCACCCACTTCCTCTCCCCATGACAAAGAGAACCTCAAGAGATGGCGGGAAAACACGAAAAGTTGGTGCACCTCTGGGGACTGTTAGCAAATTACTGAACTATGCTTCCATTTACACTTGCATGGTCAGGACTGCTTCCCTAGCTGTTTGAAGGAACAGGTTATGCTTTAGTTCACAGTGTTTGGTGAAGGACAGGCAGCTGCATCTCTTAAGTGTGTTCAAGTTTCCAACCTTTGAGTCTACAGCTAGAGTTCCCAGCCCACCCAATACTCTAGCAGGAGAACACTGCCAATCAAGGAAGAAAGTCTTTAAAGGAATCCACAGAATGAGTTTCCAGAACTAAGGCAAACAGAAAGTGTAGCTTATGAGTAAACAAACTGTTTACCTGTGGAGGATGAATAAACGTGTGCATTTTAAGTGGAGGGGGCTGCAGGAGATTAAGGCACTTTGGGTGGATAACATCGTGTTAAGGTTTCAATGTGAAATATATACCACAGGTTTGTTGTGTGAATACCCTGCCTCCAGTTAGTGCCATTGTGCTTGGGGTTGGGGAACATTTGGACATGTGCCCCTGAAGGTAGGCATAGGCCACTAGGAGTGTAGGAGTGGGTTTTGGGGATTATAACCTAGGGCTACTTCAGTTCTCTCTCTGTCTCTCTTTGTCTGTCTCTGTCTCTCTGTCTCTGTCTCTCTGTCTCTTTCTCCTGATCTCCCAAGATATAAAGAGCCGTGCTGTAGATTCCTCCCACCCTGGACCAAATTGCTCACCACTGTGGCTCTGGCTTCCCTGGCCTGATTGATGGACAGTATGCCCAAAAGTGAACCAGATTAAACCTTCCTTCCTTAAGTTGCTTCTGTCGGGTATTTCAGCATCAAGACAACAAAAGTGCCTAATAAACCTCTAATATTTCTAAAAGTTTAGCAAGCATAACTCTCTGGGGACAAATCATAATTACTGAAGCATAATATTCCTAAAACTCTACCCTACTCACAGTCTCCGTCCATTTGTCTGCACTTGGGCACTGCTGGAGGATTTCCTTTAATTATGTGTGTGATACAACACAAATCCAAGTGTTTCTGCTTCCCTTCCTCGGCCTCCATCACACCCTCAGCTCATCACCTCTTGTCATAGCTGCATCATGGCTGCCCACCACCCATTAGAACCAGCTCTCCCCTCCCTCCCCATTGGATGATTTTCCCTCCATTTCTTTCTCTTATCTGACGAAGTTTGTGGTGAGGGGAAAGAAGCTGGGGACTCTGTGCCTAATCCATCAGGCCTCACTCACATCCCCACACAGTCTTCTTTTTCTTGTGCTATTCCCCAAATCAAGAAAAGAAAAATGAAAAACTATAACTCCCAAGAAAATAGGAAGGAAAATGTTACTAAATTCTTGCTTCTGTTTTAGAATATAAACCATGCAGAAGAGCAGGAGGAAAGATTGTAAGACTCAGAATACCAGGAAGTCAGCTGTGAAAGTCTCTCCTAGAACTGACTGTATAAAGAAAAGACCTGAAATTGGCAACGGACAGGACAAGATGGGGGTGGGGATTTTGAAGGGTCTCACCCCTAATAAAGGACTATAGGCAACTTCTGAGACTTCTGAGAGAAAGAAAATTATCATCCCCCCAGGATGACCCCCTTTAATGGCTCTCCAATGTAGAGTGGTCAGCCCTGAAACCATATATACATAAACAACTATTGAATTAGAATTCTATTTCAATTAAAAACAAAGTCTTTTAGAAAAGAAAAAAGTTACTAAATATAGAAAATGATCTTGTTCATTAGACTTGTATTTGGCTTGTACCTGTGATGAGGAACTATGATGCAAAGTGATGACTACAGTAACAGTAATTAGTAATTGCTCATGTCTCTGTACATGCTGGATCTTAAACAGTTCACATATATTTACTCATTTTGTCCTTATAACATGCCTCAAACATATAAGGAGAAACAGATATAGAAAATAAGCTCCCTTAGACACAAAGCTGGTAGGTGAAATAAATCCAGAAGCCTGAGCTACAACTCTCTTTCTTAATGACTGTGGCAGGTTGACATGGCTATTTCTATCCCATGAATATGCTTACTTTTAGTTAGGAATTTATTCCACAATTTATGAGAAATGAATATTCCTGGTTTGATATATATAAATCTCCTTAATATATTTTTTTCTCTACTAAATAACTTCACCAGTAGACTGGCTGTACGAGTTCTTTCTACCTACATTGTATAGAGTTATTATGATCAAAACAGAAATGTCTAAGTAAGGCAGAGTCAGGGCTACACTTCTACTGTGTGGTTCTTCAAGCCCATTAGCCTCCTTTGGCTTCAACTAGAGCCCTCCTTGGAACTTTCTGGTCTAACTGCCGTCAAAATTCTTCCTTGCCTCCTGCTTCATTTTTGACTATTAAAAATCCCATCGTTCTGCTGCCTTGAAAACAAATATACCTTCACTTCAGCACAGCTATTTGAAGGGGAAGGCTAGGCTACCCTCTTCTCAATGTCTCCCAGCAGCATCGAGACCTGGCCAGGAGTTATAAGAAATATCTCTATGGACAGTGTCAGATGAGAGAATTCATTTGATAAGAAAATCAAATTGGACAGGAAGCTTGAAGTATCTAGAACAAAAGACCAGTGAGACTTTGCAAGTCCTTGATGCAAAGAGGCTGATTACAACCTTCTCTGAGTGTTTCCACTAACCGCTATGTTGGGTAGTAACAACACCAGGAAAAATTGTTTCTCTAGATACAGTATAAAAAGATAAATAGTGAGATAGAGTACTGTCAATCTCCAGCTTTTAGTAATTACAGCATCTAAAAAATTTAGACTATTAATCTGTCCCAATTTCCTTCACCCCAAAATATTATCCAATCAGCTTAAAAATACAGTAAAAATATAAGCCAAGAGATCAAATCAGCCTTCTTAGAGAAGAGATGGGTCTGTCCAGCAAGCTTTTGCTCCTGGCTAATTACCATGCTGGTAACAAGCCAAATGAGTTTGAACAACACACAGCAAAGTGCACCCACAAGACAAACACAAGTGCAGTGCAAACAGCCCTCTTTAAAACGCTGGTAGCGTCCAAAGTTCAGCAGCTTGGTAAAGTATAAAGCCCTCTCTCTATTCCCAGAGAAAGAAGTTCAAGTACTTACCGTGTCGTGGGACTTATCCTTGACATCATAGACTGTCAGTTTGATTCTAGTCTCTTCATAGATGGGGTACTCAGATGGGAATGTGACACCCGTCAAGAACAGTGGGTCTTTTGTTCCCTGAAACAGTACAAGCAGATAACTTGGATTCAATAAGGCAGCAACTGTAGCCGGCAGCATGCAGGGACAAATGAGAACACGGAGAGTGTGTCTCTTTCTGCTTTTCTAGGAAATAGTTCTATTCAAAGAGAGATCTGAAGAGCCAAGTGTTGTTTGTGGGCGATGAGCCCAGGGCCCCATCGTACTGAGGGCTACTGAGTAGGGAAACTTGCATTTTTTAAGTGGCTAAGGAAGTTTGAAAAAGACCTTGTTTTAAAAAATTGTAATCAGAACATATCTTTAGAACACGTTGCCAGTCCATTTAAAGATAGATAGATAGATAGATAGATAGATAGATAGATAGATAGATAGATAGATTGCTGTATATATTTATCATTTAGACAAATGATCTAAGATGCTGCCTCACCAAACTGAATGAAGCTATTTTCTCAAACCATTGGCAATCCTGTGTTATTCTTTTAAAAAATGTTTTTTCTTACTCTGCTTCAATAGAAAGCTATCCTCTGTGAGTGTATGATTGTTTTTAGATGTTTAACAGTGACTTTTTATTCCCTAAACCAACTTGAAAACTAGTAAGAAGAACTCTAAACATGATGGATTGGGGGAAATAAATTATTGCTTGGTATATGGTCCCCAAGACATTTCAGTGCCTCCAAATCAGAAACCTGGTATCTAACATCACATTTTAGACATATACATGCAACCAAATGTATTTGAAATGTTGTAAAAACTCAATGAGCCACTGGTCTACTAAAGTTTCTGAAAGCCTGTGGTGTTCACTTACTCTTTCCCTCATCCTTTTAGTCTTCAAAAGGCAAAGTGCTCTTTTCTTGGCCAGACACATTTGGAGACAGGCAGTGAATAAAACATTTGAGAAAATTGTGCCTATTCTACATAAAAGTCAACATAAATAAATTTTATAGTTACGATAATGAATTTCAAATATGTGTGTTTTATCACAGGAGAATCAGGAGATACAAATCAGTAGAACAAAATCAGAAGAAGAAAATCGTTACTTTAAAATTTGGCAATGTTTCAAAATAAGTTATAATAATGTCTGAAGTGTTTTCATTAAGAAAATGACTTTACAATTTTAGTCAAGCTGTCTTTCTATGAGTCAGACTACTTTTAATACAACTTTGGGCTAACTATACACTGTACCAGCATTGGAACCTGAAGTCTCCACAGGGCAGATTCAGGCCTGCCTGAGGGGCCAGACGCAGGACTACACACAGGATTTAGGTCACTCCCAGAATAGAAGTGACTCTAGTGTAGTCTGAATCATTGGTTCCATCCACTGCTTCAAAGCAAACGGTGAGCCAGCCAAGGCTAGAGCAGACTGTCTATGCTCATACAGAGAAGCTCCACACTCTGAACAGTGGGGCTCACAAGTCTAAGAAAAACCAGAGAAGCTGAAGGAGCTGTGAGTACACTCTCCAGAGCCCCAGATGTTCAGAGAAGTATCTGTCACTCACTGAGGTCATGAAATGTATCCGGAGAACAAAACCATCTGAAGGGAAAAGCTGTCCTGTTGAATCTGAGCCAGCACCATAATGAATTTCCCTGATACACGTTGAATGTTGCATTAGCAACGATAAATGTAAATAGGAAATCTCTCATCCTCATGAGTAATATTTACACCTTTTGCCCGGAAACATTACGGCTAATCAAGTTAATCATCTACCTTTCTTTGGAAAACAATGTGTTTTGAAAGACACATAGTAGAGAATACAAAGTTTTCACTACTGAGCTGGAAAAATTGTAAAGAGCAAAAACCCCTTCACCTGTTTTAAACTCTGTAAGTACTTTAAATTTTTGCATCATTAAATGTTTTCATTCCATTTTATTTAAAATCAATATAGACAGTAGATCATACACATAGAGACACACAAATATATAGACCAGTATTCTGTTCTCTGGGAATTCACGTGGAAGGTTTTCTATGAAAAAAGCTAAAACTTTTCATAGGAAAGCCCAAGTCTTTCCCTGTGCTTATTCTGCATTTGCTTTGAAACCTCAGATCTGCGTTTCTTAAGGACAGATGAAAGGAACAGCCGGGCATAGACCACAGGCTGACTTATGTCAGCTGTTCAGAGGGGCGGGAGAGAGGGAGAGGTGGGGGAGGAGAGAACAGCATGCACAATGCACACAGACACCAGCGTCCAGAGAGAGAGAGAGACAGACAGACAGGCAGACAGACGGAGACAGACAGAGGCTGAGAGAAACCCATGCCAGGCTCACCTCCACAATTTCTGTGCTGGAGTACCTCGTCAGGGTCTGCTCCACAGGGTGGATTACTGAGATCTGCACTACTGTATTCAGTTTTCGATCACAGACAGGAGCCACGAGATCCTTGCACGCTGGCAACAGCAGAAAAAGAAAGAAAACAAAACAAAACAAAACACCTCACTCGATCTCTTAGGGCAAACTTCTGTCCAGAGCTGAAATCAACTTTGTCTACTGGCCGAAGGAAATCTCCTGGTTCTCAGCTGGCTTTACAGAGGAAGTCTCTTGGAAGTACCTTACAGAAATAGGAAGTCACGTGCTGCCAAGCTGAATTGAGAGTTCATTTCCACTGACCACATTTGCAGCACATGCAAATCTCGAGTGCTCTGAGATCGCAGATCCAGTGTGGGAATATGTCCACACACAGCTCAGGGACTGCGGGGCTTTGACTAGTTAGTAACCCCTACGTTTCCATTCACACTCTTGCATCAAGTAAGTTGACTGGGGCCACAGCCAGGAAACTAAGATGTGTCTTGTTTGACACTGGCTGGGTTAAGTTGAATGTCTGAATGCCCTCTCCAAGTTCCTCCCCTACCTGTGTATAGAACAGGCCTCCTCCAGTCCTCCACCCCGCGGAAACAGGAAGAGAGATTACCCTACCACAGCGGAGTTCAAGCAGAAGAGGAAGCAGGGGGGTTAAAGAGCCCTCTGTCTGGAATTCAGGACCATCCTGGGAGAGAGCAACTCCGATAAGGATTGAGTAATTGCTGCCCAGGGGCCATACATTCTAAGAACTTTTCTTTACAGGCTGGGTCCTGTTACAGCTCCAGCCATCACGCCGTACTCACTGGACTATTTTTCTCCTCTCACATAGCATTCCCTAGTTTTAGAAAAGGAAAAAAATAGGGGGAGAAGCTATTCCTTTTCTCAGTAAGTCTGGCATTACTCTCCTCTGTATCCTCCCTCTGATTTTGAAATAGTGAATTTTCTTGGATTTTTAAATTTTCTACCTCTTAAAATCAACTACTAAATGTGATAAAAAGAGAGGGGACCAACTGCTGGCCTGCCACAGGCTGCAGCTACTGCTGGGTAAACGAAAAGCAGCCCTGTGAGTGGTTGATGGTGATAATGTTCAGGGTTCCACACTGTCCCCACCCCACTCAATGACCAGGAAGCCATGCAGAGGAGGAGGCTGTGTTTACACTCTGTAATGGCACCTCCTGCAATTTGCAGGGCCACTGGGACAATGGTAATACAGCTTAAAATTGAAACTTGAAAGCGAAGCAATTTATAGATGCAATTATCACCTTCCAATGGCTAGCAGATCCCCTTATTTATAGAAACAGAATGAGACAGGAAAGGCAGGTGCTTTGAAAGGGAACCAGCCTGGGTTAGGTCCAGTTCTGGTAACTAAGCAATGCTGGGGGCGCCAATTTCACTTCTTTACTTCTTGCCAAACTTTGGGGTCTTTTTATTCCTGTCTGGTATTTTGTTGTTAAATTTTCCTTGCTGAAACCACATGCCTTAAGCAAAACAGACAAGCTAAGAGAAGCATGGGTGGAACAAAACAGCCACAGCTTATCTGTTCACTATTTTCGGGGCATTCAGCTTATTACCTAATCTTCAGAATATATCAAAAATCCTTGTCTCTATTTCTCTTTTGTGTACCAACACAATCTCTTGCAAAATGGATCTGCTTTTGGAAGTCTCACTGTCACGATGATTTATTGCTTAATCCAATAAATCTACACTTTAAAAAAAACCCACCTACACATAGTTTCAATAATATCAATACATCACTGGAAAACTTTTTTCACTGGAAGATTCCGTGCACACTGCCCTTTGGTGGTTACTTTGATCACTTTATTTACTTGCCTTATGAGTGTGGTTCATTTTATCACTCCTCTTGGCTTTCTGCTCACTGTGAACATCTACTGAAGCTGACAACTATCTTGTCTTTGGGGATTAAAGCTAGGGGTTGTGAGTTTGAAAACCACGCATCACACCCACTCTCTGGTGCAGCCTCACCCCTGTCTTATGAGCTCTTGACACCTTTGATCAAAATAAGTCACATCACTTCTGAGTTCTTATCGGGCTTGGCTGTGGCTGCGGTTCTTCCCAGAAGCGAGCAGCTATTCTGTGGTTCAGCAGAGAGCCTCTAGGCTGCACTTCCCATAAGAACAGACAGCATATAAAAGCAAGATTCTGTGCAGCTCTTCAGATGCCCAGGAGTGCACCAGCAAGAATACTGACAGCATCGCCATTTGTATTCAGCAGCTGTAGATGTTCAGAACCCAGCACAGAGAACAATAGCAACAAGTTACACTAGAGCCTGTGCTCTAGTCTCTCTTCTTCCTAAATAACAGCCCTCAGCATTGACTGCTTCTTAATACCAAGGCAGTGAGAGGGAGAGATCGTGAGACCAAACAGAATTCCTGAAATGTAGCTCCGGATTTCCTGTTGTCTAGTTCTGTGGCACAGAGTAAATAAATCACAACCTCAACGGCTCATCTGTCAGGGTGGAAAGAATGTGAGCCTCTTATGATGAACTTTTACATGCAAGACTCATGTTTACTAACAATGTTATATTAATATTTAACAGTTTTTTGATGCTATTGCTATGTAAAATAAATTTTACTGATAGAGTTCTACTCAGATGATCCCTTAAAAACTGTTACCAGATCTGCATCTCTTTATAAGTACATGTCATACTGTGAAATAGATAAACATGGATCTAATTCTCCTACAACGGCCCCTGGAGGACTGTGAAGGCTGAGTCAGTGGATAATGCATGGAGATGCTACTCATTTGAGCATTATGAGATCTAACCTGCAAGGGATTATTCAGTAGGCAATAAAGAACGGAGGTGGTTTGAATGAGAATGGTCCCCACAGGCTCACATAGTTGAATACTTGGGACTTAGTTGGTGGAACTGCTTCAGAAGGGTTAAGAGGTGTGGCCTTGTTGGAGGAGTGTCACTGGCGGGGAGCTCTGAGGTTTCAAAAGATTTGTGTGATTCCCAAGGTTCTCTCTCTGCCTCTTGTTTTGGGGTCAAGATGAGAGTTCTCAATTGTTCCTATGCTCCACCACCATGGAATCTAACTCTCTGAAGCCACCAGCCAAATTAAACTCTTTCTTCTATCAAGTGCCCAGGTCATAGTTTATTATCATAGCAATAGAAAAGTGACTAAGACAAGAAGTCTAAAAATATGCTTACAGAATCTGGAACTGTTCTATCCATCTTCCAAAGCATTCTTACCATGGTCTGTTACCACATGAAACTCTGCTCCAAGAGTCCCCTAAATAAATAGCCTTCCTCAGTTATAACACTAGAAGACGGAAATGTTTGGGGGTTTTTCCTTTCTGTTTTATTGTAAGACTCTTCTACAAGCACTTAACGGTTGCTGCAGAAGAGAGAGACCATTTTCTAGGGGTGTCACCACTGGTAAGGTGGCTGTGATAATGAATTCACAACACGCCCCCATGGTTGGGCATAGGCGTGCATGCCCGGTGGGACCTAGTCACTTCTGCCTAGTCATTTTCCCGGTCAAAAATCTTGCATGACCCAGGACTGTGGCTTTACACGCTTGTGTAAAGCGCGCAATGCAAATATGTGATCTATAGGCATGCATAGAATAGCCACATGGGCCTGTGTGCGCAGGCGCAGCCCAGCCTTTATAAGCCAGCACCATGATTCCCCGACCCCTTTCACTCACATGTCTTTCTGCAGGCCTGTGCACATCTGTCCCTCTCCCTTATCTTATTAAAACCCTTGTTAGTGGATTCTGTCGTGTTTCGTGACATTTCCTCGCAGGGTAAGAATGCCACAAAAAACCCAACAGGCTGCGTTCTTATAAATGACCCCTTGCTTACCAGGAACCCTAATTAGACACATTAGGCCATCAAAATAAATGAATAAATAGCAAATAAATGGCATGAAAGAGGAGGGCAGTGGTTGGGAAGAGGAAAGGACTCAGTGGGAGTAGGAGGGAGTCAAAAGAGAGTAACAGGCAGCAAATGCCTTATATATATATATATATAATATATATATATATATATATATATACACACATTATATATATATATACGAAAATATGTAACAAAACTCATAATTAGGCATAATTAACTTATGCCAGTAAAATGAGAAAATGGCTAAAAATTACATGGTGGATTAAAAAATAATCCTAACTATTTGAGTTAAATGGTATTAACAAGTGATGCCCTCATCAGTGGCTCTTTAACTTTTGCTTCTGCCTTTTTACTGATTTTCTTCAGACCGAGCTGTTGAAAAGCATTTCCCAAGATCAAGAGTTTGAAGGACCTGTGATGAAAAGTTGGGGTAAAACTGTGCTCATGCCCATTGATTGATTGTTTTATACTAAAAAGCAGAAAGGAGGGAAAAGGAGTCAGAAATTATAATTTTGTGGTTTTCATAGAAATATATCAACTAATTATAAATGATTCTTTTCCTGGTGACTTTGACATAGTATCCAGCAATAGGAGCGTTCGCTTTCTTCTTCCAATGATGTTGAACAAGGTGGCTATAAAACAAACCCCAACTTGGGTTTGCATAAGGGCCAGGCAGCTCTCCTCTCATAGAAAGAAATCCTCAGTAGAAGTGTAATGATAAGAATAAATGGAGCTGTTGTGTCTTGGGAGGAGGCTGTGCACAAAAGCAATCAGGAAAAACCATGAAATGGCAGCCAATGTGTTTTGTTCAAACTCTGAAATCCCAGCCACTGTGTGAATGGACAAGCCATAGCCTCCACCCTCTGCTAACCTCTGCCTGAGGGCTAGAAGTTGCCAATGTCTGTTCTAGATGCTTGTAGCATGGCATGGATGTCTAGATAAAAAAAGAACATCTTCTGCTCTGGTGATTATCCCATTATTTGAGGATTCTGAGGTCAAAGAGCAGGCATCTTCAGGGTTGTTCTGAAGTCAAAGACTCCATCATCCACAAAAATACTGTCAGTATTAAATAAAATATCAGCCTATGTTTCATGCAATTATCTAAATCATACCATATCTATTGGGCTCAAAGAACCTTTCCATCACTCTAGGTAACTTTAGCTGAAAGCTGAAAACTGTCTCACCTCAGAGAATAACACAACAGTCCAATTCAAGGAGGTCTGAG